ATTAAAGAGCGACGTTTATAAGTGATGCCGGTTCCGGAATGTTTCAATAAAGAGCTTCATACCGGCATCCACGCATCATGACTTCATTGTCTATCTCATCAACATACCATCAACAATAGTGATTGCGCCACGTCAAAGTTAATGTAGCACTAGTTGAACCAGATTTCTGAGCAGAAGTCTTTGCCTTCACGAAGCGTCTCCCTGCCTCGTCCTCCGTCTCTATCGTCAGTTACTGATTTACCGATCGTCCGTCCCAAACGTTTGATTTTGCATCCGTTGTTCAAACGGGAAAACAGAAGCGAATTCAACGTCGCCCGGCGATAGCCTGATACATGTTGATTATAAGCGTTTGAGTAATCTGAAGTTTATTACACCGATAACCTGCGTCAGCCGACACTGAAAGAACTCTTTTCGCCGGAGATTTGCCGCCCACGCCCCACCAAATAAACAGCGGGGATTTATTATCAGCGATCGTTACGTAACTGAGCCACTTCGATTTACGGGATTCACTGGAGCACCAATCGCTGCTTGTCGAAACAAGCTGACTTCGTGCGGGAAGTTCGATGTTCACAATCGATAAAGTCGCTTCTGGTTTTATCGCTTTGGGGATAACAGAACATCATTCAAAACAAACGATAATATCAACAGAAAATCCCTCGGTAGCCAGTAGTGGCAAAGTCAGTATTGCATTGCAGCATCATTTAAACCGTCAGATTGTTGAAATCCAATATGTTGCGCATATAGTTTGAAGAATGAACATAAAGAAGTAATATCTTCGTCACAATGCCGTCAGACAGGGATATCATGTAAAGCGTTAACAAAATGGGGATTGAACGATCATTGTCTTGTAAGCTGATGTTCCGACTTCTGTTTTCAGCGTATCGAGCCAGGATGCCATTCGAAGAAGCCGTAGTGGTTAACATAGCTCACTGGGCATACTCAGGCGATAGAAATATGAAACATTCTCCGGTATATTTGCTGCCCCTTTCGTTGAGGTCATGGTCATTTGTTGTCAGCGAGGTTGTGCCGCTGGAATCCATCGTTCGGTTATCTGCTTTTGAACATTGTGATGTCCGCTTCAAGCCTTTGATACCAAGAGGAGAAAACGACCGAACTGCGTCACCATCTCGCCTATCTTCCACGCCTTTCGTCATTTTGCGCGGGCTTCTGACGGGTGTCATGCCCAATAATCTATTCTGTCCAATAAATGTGCTTAAAAAGCCATGGATAACCAACTAAAATGAAACACATTTAGATATTGACGATGGATTTTATCTTACACAACTCTCGGCTACGCCACAGCATAACATTTTTCAACCGTTGTCATTCCTTTGACCATATAAATGACCATGACATATCATAATGATTGAAGAAAACCACCCAAAATACTCTCTATCTCTCATACCTAATGTTTCAGAATGTCATCCTTTCTCGAATTGTACTCTATCCTTTGAAATGAACATGCCCCAGTGCTTGGGCTGAACCTAGGAGGTTAAAACTGTTAATGCATACAGCATACAATGCAAAAGAAAACTGAATCTTTCAAATTGGCATCAGCACAAGTCAAAAGTATTTCAAGAAAAAGCACTCGGTGTACAACATTCCCTGAAGAAACAGAACACGAAAGATCGGAACATCCTTACACAAGACAGTGGTCATCATTGAAATGGGCTCAGTTAGCAAGCTGGTCCCATCTGTACAATGCCCTTTTACATTATTGTGTATTCAAAGCAACATTTACACATGATAGAGTTGTATTACGTTGTCCTGTGCAACTCTCCAACAGAATTGTCACATATGTATTCAAGATGTACTTTCTACCCAATCTAACACACACATGAACTGTCTTCAAACTATATATACACATCTTTATATGGTAAGGTTTCAAACAATCTGACGTTCACCAAGTATTGTTTCAGATGGACAATATCCACATACAAAAGTCTCAGATCATTCGTGATATATATCTATGATGTAAGAAGAGGTAGAGAAATGGTGAGGTTAACAAATAAGGTGCTACGTCAAAGAAATGCAGACAATACAGTCCATACTTTGACTTTGCCTACTTTAAACAGGGATTTTCTGTTATTGTGCAAGTGGTTTTGTCGTTCTTATTTATTACAAATAGAGGTTTCGTGAAGCATAAGACGTTTTTCTGTTGCTATGTTTTTGTCAGCGGCCCTCTCCCTCTACCAACAAAGCCAATGCATTAGAAGTAAGACGACGAAGGGCACCGTTAGATTAATCCCGACTTTATCAAGAAACGCTGATTGATATTCCCCGAGATAACGAGATTGGATTGGTTGAACTTTCCTCAGACCTCCCTTTACTACAAATTAAGCTTGTTTTGACAAGCACATGATTGGTGCTTCAAAGTGGACAATGAGATCCCATTTCGATCAAAGCCCAATGAAGTTGCAGTATAGCTTTGATCTCGCCACTGGCTTCCAAAACGCTCTCTTTGATGTATAAATCCCCACTTGTTTGTACTGAGGGCAAGTATAAAGGTTTCCCAGAGTCCGATGTACTTCACTCCATCTCAGCCTGCAGGACCGATCACACCCTCTTTCAATTATCAGAGCGTCACTGACTTCCTACAGTATTAGCTATAGGCCCGATATCAGTCCAGAATTGTGTAGATAAGTCCCTAGAAAATGGATCCAGTTCAAGTTGCCATCAAGCTGAGAGGTCTCCTTGTTGCCCATGACAATGCAGTGAAAGAGATCCTGACATTGGGGTAAATATCAACACTTCTTATCTGCCTGTAAAAATGCCAATATTTAGTACTCTGACCTTCAAAAATTGAAAAACCTCATGACTTTATTTTGATCATCTCTGCATTAAGACTTCTAATTACCCCCGTTTTACTTTTTTTTCAGACATGCAGGTGTACAAGCTGATGCAAAGATGACGGCCAACTCCTCCAACAACTGTATAATTCGAGGTGAACAGCTGATCCAGAGACGATGGGTACTGGAAGGTGTGAAGGGAGATGTTACCATCTACAGACAAATCAAGTGGCAAGAGGTGCAGGCCTGTGTAAATGCCATCACCAAAGATGTTTCTGGAGAGGGATACAGGAGGCGGATTGGAATGCTGAAACTTCCTTCAATGACGATGACGCTTCCTTCACCGAACCCGAGGTCGACAGCTCATACAGTGAGGACGACGAAGACCAGGAAGACCTCTACACCAACGACAGCAGCTACGATATGATGACTCTCAGTCGAGCTTTGTCTGTAGACGACTGTGCACTTCATAGACACGCTTAAGGGAAATCACAAGTTCCTGGCCACATCAGCTAGTGCTACATTAACTTTGTTATTGTTCTTGTTCAGAAATGTTGTGCAAAGAGCATCCTGTTATATTGTAACCATAATTGCTTGTTGATGGTTATGTTGATGAAATAAAATAATGAAGTCGATATTATAATCTTTGTCATTTGCTGACACGTTCACGACATCTTGAGGACAGACATTAGTATAGAAAGCTCTTTTGATACTAGAGAAACGATTCATTCAAGATGGCATCTCACAGTTTCACGCCTTTCGTCATTTGCGCGGGTTCTGACGGTGTCATGCCCAATAATCTATTCTGTCCAATAAAATGTAGCTAAAAGCCATGGATAATAACCAACTAAAATGAAACACATTTAGATATTGACGATGGGATTTCCATCTTACACAACTCCGGCTACGCCACAGCATAACATTTTCAACCGTTGTCATTCCTTTGACCATATAAATGACCATGACATATCATAATGATTGAAGAAAACCACCCAAAATACTCTATCTCTCATACCGAATGTTTCGTAATGTCATCCTTTCGACTGTACTCTATCCTTTTGAAATGAACATGCCCCAGTGCTTGGGCTGAACCTAGGAGGTTAAAACTGTTAATGCATACAGCATACAATGCAAAAGAAAACTGAATTCTTTCAAATTGGCATCAGCACAAGTCAAAAGTATTTCAAGAAAAAGCACTCGGTGTACAACATTCCCCTGAAGAAACAGAACACGAAAGATCGGAACATCCTTACACAAGACAGTGGTCATCATTGAAATGGGCTCAGTTAGCAAAGCTGGTCCCATCTGTACAATGCCCTTTTACATTATTGTGTATTCAAAGCAACATTTACACATGATAGAGTTGTATTACGTTGTCCTGTGCAACTCTCCAACAGAATTGTCACATATGTATTCAAGATGTACTTTCTACCCAATCTAACACACATGAACTGTCTTCAAACTATATATACACATCTTTTATATGGTAAGGTTTCAAACAATCTGACGTTCACCAAGAATTGTTTCAGATGGACAATATCCACATACAAAAGTCTCAGATCATTCGTGATATATATCTATGATGTAAGAAGAGGTAGAGAAATGGTGAGGTTAACAAATAAGGTGCTACGTCAAAGAAATGCAGACAATACAGTCCATACTTTGACTTTGCCTACTTTAACAGGGATTTTCTGTTATTGTGCAAGTGGTTTTGTCGTTCTTATTTATTACAAATAGAGGTTTCGTGAAGCATAAGACGTTTTCTGTTGCTATGTTTTTTGTCAGCGGCCTTCTCCCTACCAACAAAAGCCAATGCATTAGAAGTAAGACGACGAAGGGCACCGTTAGATTAATCCCGACTTTATCAAGAAACGCTGATTGATATTCCCCGAGATAACGAGATTGGATTGGTTGAACTTTCCTCAGACCTCCCTTTACTACAAATTAAGCTTGTTTGACAAGCACATGATTGGTGCTTCAAAGTGGACAATGAGATCCCATTTCGATCAAAGCCCAATGAAGTTTGCAGTATAGCTTTGATCTCGCCACTGGCTTCCAAAACGCTCTCTTTGATGTATAAATCCCCACTTGTTTGTACTGAGGGCAAGTATAAAGGTTTCCCAGAGTCCGATGTACTTCACTCCATCTCAGCCTGCAGGACCGATCACACCCTCTTTCAATTATCAGAGCGTCACTGACTTCCTGCAGTATTAGCTATAGGCCCGATATCAGTCCAGAATTGTGTAGATAAGCCCTAGAAAATGGATCCAGTTCAAGTTGCCATCAAGCTGAGAGGTCTCCTTGTTGCCCATGACAATGCAGTGAAAGAGATCCTGACATTAGGTAAATATCAACACTTCTTATCTGCCTGTAAAAATGCCAATATTTAGTACTCTGACCTTCAAAATTGAAAACCTCATGACTTTATTTTGATCATCTCTACCAAGACTTCTAATTACCCCGTTTTACTTTTTTTCAGACATGCAGGTGTACAAGCTGATGCAAAAGATGACGGCCAACTCCTCCAACAACTGTATAATTCGAGGTGAACAGCTGATCCAGAGACGATGGGTACTGGAAGGTGTGAAGGAGATGTTTACCATCTACAGACAAATCAAGTGGCAAGAGGTGCAGGCCTGTGTAAATGCCATCACCAAAGATGTTTCTGGAGAAAGGGATACAGAGGCGGATTGGAATGCTGAAACTTCCTTCAATGACGATGACGCTTCCTTCACCGAACCCGAGGTCGACAGCTCATACAGTGAGGACGACGAAGACCAGGAAGACCTCTACACCAACGACAGCAGCTACGATATGATGACTCTCAGTCGAGCTTTGTCTGTAGACGACTGTGCACTTCATAGACACGCTTAAGGGAAATCACAAGTTCCTGGCCACATCAGCTAGTGCTACATTAACTTTGTTATTGTTCTTGTTCAGAAATGTTGTGCAAAGAGCATCCTGTTATATTGTAACCATAATTGCTTGTTGATGGTTATGTTGATGAAATAAAATAATGAAGTCGATATTATAATCTTTGTCATTTGCTGACACGTTCACGACATCTTGAGGACAGACATTAGTATAGAAAGCTCTTTTGATACTAAGAGAGAAACGATTCATTCAAGATGGCATCTCACAGTTTCACGCCTTTCGTCATTTTGCGCGGGTTCTGACGGTGTCATGCCCAATAATCTATTCTGTCCAATAAATGTAGCTAAAAGCCATGGATAATAACCAACTAAAATGAAACACATTTAGATATTGACGATGGGATTTCCATCTTACACAACTCCGGCTACGCCACAGCATAACATTTTCAACCGTTGTCATTCCTTTGACCATATAAATGACCATGACATATCATAATGATTGAAGAAAACCACCCAAAATACTCTATCTCTCATACCGAATGTTTCGTAATGTCATCCTTTCGACTGTACTCTATCCTTTTGAAATGAACATGCCCCAGTGCTTGGGCTGAACCTAGGAGGTTAAAAACTGTTAATGCATACAGCATACAATGCAAAAGAAAACTGAATCTTTCAAATTGGCATCAGCACAAGTCAAAAGTATTTCAAGAAAAAGCACTCGGTGTACAACATTCCCCTGAAGAAACAGAACACGAAAGATCGGAACATCCTTACACAAGACAGTGGTCATCATTGAAATGGGCTCAGTTAGCAAGCTGGTCCCATCTGTACAATGCCCTTTTACATTATTGTGTATTCAAAGCAACATTTACACATGATAGAGTTGTATTACGTTGTCCTGTGCAACTCTCCAACAGAATTGTCACATATGTATTCAAGATGTACTTTCTACCCAATCTAACACACATGAACTGTCTTCAAACTATATATACACATCTTTATATGGTAAGGTTTCAAACAATCTGACGTTCACCAAGAATTGTTTCAGATGGACAATATCCACATACAAAAGTCTCAGATCATTCGTGATATATATCTATGATGTAAGAAGAGGTAGAGAAATGGTGAGGTTAACAAATAAGGTGCTACGTCAAAGAAATGCAGACAATACAGTCCATACTTTGACTTTGCCTACTTTAACAGGGATTTTCTGTTATTGTGCAAGTGGTTTTGTCGTTCTTATTTATTACAAATAGAGGTTTCGTGAAGCATAAGACGTTTTCTGTTGCTATGTTTTGTCAGCGGCCTTCTCCTCTACCAACAAAGCCAATGCATTAGAAGTAAGACGACGAAGGGCACCGTTAGATTAATCCCGACTTTATCAAGAAACGCTGATTGATATTCCCGAGATAACGAGATTGGATTGGTTGAACTTTCCTCAGACCTCCTTTACTACAAATTAAGCTTGTTTCGACAAGCACATGATTGGTGCTTCAAAGTGGACAATGAGATCCCATTTCGATCAAAGCCCAATGAAGTTGCAGTATAGCTTTGATCTCGCCACTGGCTTCCAAAACGCTCTCTTTGATGTATAAATCCCCACTTGTTTGTACTGAGGGGCAAGTATAAAGGTTTCCCAGAGTCCGATGTACTTCACTCCATCTCAGCCTGCAGGACCGATCACACCCTCTTTCAATTATCAGAGCGTCACTGACTTCCTACAGTATTAGCTATAGGCCCGATATCAGTCCAGAATTGTGTAGATAAGCCCTAGAAAATGGATCCAGTTCAAGTTGCCATCAAGCTGAGAGGTCTCCTTGTTGCCCCATGACAATGCAGTGAAAGAGATCCTGACATTAGGTAAATATCAACACTTCTTATCTGCCTGTAAAATGCCAATATTTAGTACTCTGACCTTCAAAATTGAAAACCCTCATGACTTTATTTTGATCATCTCTACCAAGACTTCTAATTACCCCGTTTTACTTTTTCAGACATGCAGGTGGTACAAGCTGATGCAAAAGATGACGGCCAACTCCTCCAACAACTGTATAATTCGAGGTGAACAGCTGATCCAGAGACGATGGGTACTGGAAGGTGTGAAGGAGATGTTTACCATCTACAGACAAATCAAGTGGCAAGAGGTGCAGGCCTGTGTAAATGCCATCACCAAAGATGTTTCTGGAGAAAGGGATACAGAGGCGGATTGGAATGCTGAAACTTCCTTCAATGACGATGACGCTTCCTTCACCGAACCCGAGGTCGACAGCTCATACAGTGAGGACGACGAAGACCAGGAAGACCTCTACACCAACGACAGCAGCTACGATATGATGACTCTCAGTCGAGCTTTGTCTGTAGACGACTGTGCACTTCATAGACACGCTTAAGGGAAATCACAAGTTCCTGGCCACATCAGCTAGTGCTACATTAACTTTGTTATTGTTCTTGTTCAGAAATGTTGTGCAAAGAGCATCCTGTTATATTGTAACCATAATTGCTTGTTGATGGTTATGTTGATGAAATAAAATAATGAAGTCGATATTATAATCTTTGTCATTTGCTGACACGTTCACGACATCTTGAGGACAGACATTAGTATAGAAAGCTCTTTTGATACTAAGAGAGAAACGATTCATTCAAGATGGCATCTCACAGTTTCACGCCTTTCGTCATTTTGCGCGGGTTCTGACGGTGTCATGCCCAATAATCTATTCTGTCCAATAAATGTAGCTAAAAGCCATGGATAATAACCAACTAAAATGAAACACATTTAGATATTGACGATGGGATTTCCATCTTACACAACTCCGGCTACGCCACAGCATAACATTTTCAACCGTTGTCATTCCTTTGACCATATAAATGACCATGACATATCATAATGATTGAAGAAAACCACCCAAAATACTCTATCTCTCATACCGAATGTTTCGTAATGTCATCCTTTCGACTGTACTCTATCCTTTTGAAATGAACATGCCCCAGTGCTTGGGCTGAACCTAGGAGGTTAAAAACTGTTAATGCATACAGCATACAATGCAAAAGAAAACTGAATCTTTCAAATTGGCATCAGCACAAGTCAAAAGTATTTCAAGAAAAAGCACTCGGTGTACAACATTCCCCTGAAGAAACAGAACACGAAAGATCGGAACATCCTTACACAAGACAGTGGTCATCATTGAAATGGGCTCAGTTAGCAAGCTGGTCCCATCTGTACAATGCCCTTTTTACATTATTGTGTATTCAAAGCAACATTTACACATGATAGAGTTGTATTACGTTGTCCTGTGCAACTCTCCAACAGAATTGTCACATATGTATTCAAGATGTACTTTCTACCCAATCTAACACACATGAACTGTCTTCAAACTATATATACACATCTTTATATGGTAAGATTTCAAACAATCTGACGTTCACCAAGTATTGTTTCAGATGGACAATATCCACATACAAAAGTCTCAGATCATTCGTGATATATATTTATGATGTAAGAAGAGGTAGAGAAATGGTGAGGTTAACAAATAAGGTGCTACGTCAAAGAAATGCAGACAATACAGTCCATACTTTGACTTTGCCTACTTTAACAGGGATTTTCTGTTATTGTGCAAGTGGTTTTGTCGTTCTTATTTATTACAAATAGAGGTTTCGTGAAGCATAAGACGTTTTCTGTTGCTATGTTTTTGTCAGCGGCCTTCTCCCTCTACCAACAAAAGCCAATGCATTAGAAGTAAGACGACGAAGGGCACCATTAGATTAATCCCGACTTTATCAAGAAACGCTGATTGATATTCCCCGAGATAACGAGATTGGATTGGTTGAACTTTCCTCAGACCTCCCTTTACTACAAATTAAGCTGGTTTTGACAAGCACATGATTGGTGCTTCAAAGTGGACAATGAGATCCCATTTCGATCAAAGCCCAATGAAGTTGCAGTATAGCTTTGATCTCGCCACTGGCTTCCAAAACGCTCTCTTTGATGTATAAATCCCCACTTGTTTGTACTGAGGGCAAGTATAAAGGTTTCCCAGAGTCCGATGTACTTCACTGACATTCATTCATTCACACATTCATTCATTCATTGATCAGCGTCCTTGGAGCCGGAAAAGCGTAACAAGCCGCAGCATCAAATTCGAAATCGCACACTCACTCGACCCTGGCGTCGCCATTTCTACCCACACTGTTCACTGACTTTCTCAACCAATAGCACCGGCAAGGGCGCCTAGCCACTGGCTCTTCGGGCTCCGGCCCCCCTCAAACAGCAAGTATAACTTGCCTACTATTTATTTCATAAACTGTAAATACTTAATCTCATCAATCATTTTGTAAATACTTTATCTTTGTCTTTCACCTTATATGTTTATTTTGTGCATTCTGTATATAGTACATGTAACACTCTACCCACACCCACTGCCCCCTCCCCAACTTTCAAACCCCTCCCCCCACCCCACCCCCAACATGTCCTCCCCACTACCTTCCACATCACTCTTCTCCACGCCAATTAAAGACTTCCCACAACTCACCTCTCCAAACAACATCAACCCCATACCCATAGACTTCGGCATAAATCTAGACCACCTACTCCCACCCCAACCCATGGAAACTGCCAAACCCCTACCAACACCACCACCACCCATAAAACCCAACACCCAACCAAACAAAAAACGCCCTCACATTTCTCCCGAAGCAACCCAACAATCCAACAAAAAAACATGTGACCAAGACACCCCACCGCAGCCACAACCAACCAAATACCTACTCCTAGCATTCGCCACCAACACCAATACACCCCTAAATCACACATACTCTACAAACAAATTTGCCCTCTGCCTCAAGAAACAACACATCACTTACAAATACATAAACTTCTGTGGCAGAGGTTTCAAAGTAACATTTCCAGATGAACATTCACTCAACAACACACTCAAACACACTTTAATAGACGGAAACACAATAAAATGGGAGAAACCGAGGTGGCAGACACAAACACAGGGGGTCATTCACATCGACAACAGGGAAACACCAACAGACATTCAAGAATACATACACATTGCAAATACCATCACAAACCAACCCAAAATCACAGACTACAAAACAATAAACACAAAACAACCATCCGCAAACAACCCCAATACCCAGATAACCTTCCT